TCCCTACTCTCAAAAATAATTAGAATTCCAACATTAAATTATGTCATTTTATTTAATTAAAATTTAATTTAAAATCTAAAAAATTATCTTATTAAATGTTAATATATTAGAATATATAATGATTTTTCAAATTTAAATATCAATCTTTTTTTTTTTTGAACAATTTGTAATTATTTACAAAGTCAATTGGGGGAAGAGGGGAAAGGGATTATGTGGAGCTCGAATGTGCAACCCACGAAGGTGAACAGCCCTAACCCAGGGTCCAATACCACTAGGCCGGAATCTTTAATACGATGAAATTTCAATTTTTATATGTAAATTAAAACTTTAATTATTAATCTCTTTGTATGTTATCATCCATTAGAAACGTAAATAGGAATTAGCAAGAGATTCCAGTCAATTATTATGCATATGCATATGGTGTTGGTTTGTTAACGCCATTCAGTACTACTTCTAAATTATGCCAGTAAACGTCATTTCGTAAGGGACTAAAACAATAAAACATAATCGTTCAAAAAAACCAGAACTAAAACATAGCAAAATGCTGGAATTCATCACAAACTGTCCATCTTCAAACCAGAACACAGACGCTGGGGTTTTACACAACCAACACAATACACATCCAAGCAAATACGACTCACATGTAGCAAAGTCCATAACATCTAAGCATGGACCTTGGAAGTTTTCTTTAAAAGCATCAGAATACTATTGAGCCAGTTTACACAAACCGGACAGAGATATTATTACTACTAGTCCAGAAAATTACTCAAGCATCTCCATGTCCAATCAGAGCAAGAAGCATTTTCTCATAGTCTCCAGAAGTATCTCCAGCAATTGCCCGTTCCAGAGGTACACTGTTTCTTCGGTGATACTCCTCCTTGATTCGTTCCATGTCCACCTCTGCCCGACTTGTTACTACTCTGGTAAGAGCCCATTCATCTGTCCCTTGCTTCTTGATGGCCAGCCTCAGAAGCTTCTCAAAATATTTCTCAGGACAAGTCAAGGACTTGATGGTGGCTCTCAATAATTTGAGAAAGTCATCATTAGGGTCTGCCTTCAAATCCTGCAAGCCAGTATCTCATTATCAGTTTAAATAAGAATAGTATTGCTGAGCATATGCTTAATGGTCTGTGTGTCTAGGCTACCGAGTCCTCTAATTACCATGAACTGTAACTGTTAACTAAAATGGTTAGTTAGAGCTTCATCTCTCTGAGTTACCAGGATATCTCAAATTCATAAATCACTCCCATGGTTTCCAAAAAGGGTTGAGGGAGCATTTATATGTAAAATATATTGTTGTAAACAAACTTGCCACAATTTGATGACACATATAAATTCAAAATTTCATGCTAATCTTCATGCAGAAATTATTAGAGGATCAATATCATTTTTGAAATTTCATTAACAGATGCATATGCACTAAAGTAGTCAAGAGGCAGGAAGGACAGGAAATCTTTTCTTTCTAAGGAAACTGCCAAATGATAAGACATTCATGGCGTTTCTTCACATACCTTGTTGATAGCATTTCCAAATGCATCATTGTAGTGATTGAGGGTTGCATTTAGCTGTGCCTTGCTTCTTGTAGAAATAATCCTGATGACCTCCTCATCATTGTAAGCCTTCTCTGAGATTTTCTCATGAAGTATCTTTGCCTCAGATTTTGCTAACATCACGTTCACCTCATCTCCCTCATATCGGAATGCACTCACAAGAGGAACCAAAAGCTAAACAGAAATCACAATTCATGCAAAACAATTAACTCCGTGAAATTTACCAATTTCAAAATTTCTATTCTTTTTTTGTTCACTGCCAGGCACAGCCAACGGTGCCATCTTAATCAGGTTATGGGATTGCAAGTTACAACCCTGAACAGAGGACCATAATTTGATGATGTCTCATAATATCTCATCTAGATTTTTCATTCATATGTTCCTTTATTGAGTTTGTCAACAGCATACTTCAAATTCTAAATATCAGATTATGGATGATGTCCAAGTATATATTTTACTGAAGGAAAGGAGAGGGAAAAACTACTCAAAGTATACATAATAAAGAGGTTCATGATTGTACCTTGCGGTAGTCTCCAGTAGTGTGATGTGCAACATCCTCTTCCAGGGATTTCTTAAAACGGGCATGATATGCCTGCCGCACCTTAAATAGGTCAAGTGAAGACCTAGTGCAAGCTATTTCCATTATGACCCAATTGCTTGATGTGAACCTCTTTGTAGCTTCATTAGCCAAAAATGCATCACGCTCTGCAGGCTCCAGTGTCCACAGCAATACAGCCCGCTGTTAAATAATATATAAGAAAAAGGAGAAAAAGAAAGGAATTAGCTTTCTTATGTAGCATTGCAATCACTTCATCGCTTCATCTCATAAGGAACCTCAAGCAAGATTAGAAGAGAATAGAAAGTTGACAGCAATTACTGAAGTGCAGCGGTTAGTATTCTGTGTAACTTGGCTATGTAAGTACTGACAAATGAATGACCAAAAGATATGTCAGAATCTAACCTCAAAGTCACTCGTGAGTTCTTTGTCCAATGCCTTAAGGAGGTCTACTCCATAAGTTTCAGCGTAAGTTTGTCGAATCAGATTTCGCTGTGCTGCATTCCTATGAGCCAATATGGAGATAATCAATGCCTCATTTGTGCCCCATCCTGTACATAGATTGTAGTTCATAGTTATAACTTCTGTCTCAAAACATATAAACAAACTATAATTTTTAAGATGCTTTTAGGATAAGGATTACAAATGATTTGATTGTATGATCAAAGTATTCTAGAAATATGATGCCTCAATTGGCACTTGAGAAATGAGATTGTTTTTATCATTCAAAATTCCAAATATAATGTCATTTTTTTTCTGTTTAGAATAATTTTGCAGGGTAAACCAGGTTGCTTTACTGATGCGGAATCCTAAAAAGGATCCCACAAGATCAAATGCAGTCAAGGCTCACAGAGCAGTTGTGATATCCGATCACATGATTTCATATCAGTGATAGAATTACAAACCATCATTTCTACACCATAAAAGCTTCGAATGATAGAGCAAATTTTAAGAATGCGATTAGAACACCGATCTCTCTTCCAAGAATCAATCCATAACGTTTAAGAATTCGATCTAGATAAAGACAGTGATTAGATCAAATGACAAGCACAATGTTGAACTAAAAAACAAGAATTCAGATGAGGTGATCACAATCTCCTGCACTCTGTTGATTGATATATCAAAATTTAAAATGAAAACAATCATCGGATTCTGTCTACTCATATGATCGACTTCCAACGATCGGAATCAAAATACAGATGCAATGTGTAAAATTCAATCCAGTACCAAAGGGATCAAACACATGCGATCGGTGATACGACATAACTACTGAATCATCAGCAGCAAAAATCAAGATCAGAAAGATCTGTCAAGGAAATCAAAGAGAAAGAAAAAGAAGGATAAGGTCTAAAAGGCAGATTTAAAAACGACCTTGGAAAGCTTTGTGGAGTTGCTCGGCATCCTCCGCCGGAGAAGGAACGTTGGCCGGCACTTTGAGCGTCGCCATTTTCAGTCTGCTTTGAGCTCCTGTGAGAGTGTTCTAGTTCCTTGTATAGGATGGGAAAAAGGAGAGCAAATGATTTTATATTTTGCGAAGTTGTAGTTATAATTTTTTATATTATTTTTTGTTATAATTTTTATGTAATATTAAATGATAAAATATATTTAATATTATAAATTTTACATAAATAAAAAATAATTATTTAAATAATATATTAAATTATATTAAAACGTAATACAAAAAATTATTTTAAAATTATTTTTCTCTTATATTAGTTGAAAATAAATTAAAATTATTATCATTAATTTATCTATCTGTCGGTTTCCGGAATTTTGGCAAATTTCAGGCGATCATTACGCGGGACAAACAAAAGAAATTAAGAACCCCAAGTCAGTGATGACCATGTGAATGTAACCA